GGGTAATTGTCGGTTTTATTTTATTAATTGCATTAAAGGATTCTGATATACTAGATTGAATCATTTTTTTATGATATTAGAATTTGCTGGTTTTTTCTGTGCTGTTTTAAATATAGCTTGTATTCAGCATATATGCCTAAATGACATCTCTAATAAAAAAAATATATATACTAGTTTAGTTTTATTTTATTCATTATCTTTAATAAGTATTTATCATTACTTGTTTGTTGTGATATTTATGTATTTTTTAAATTAGTTTTATTTTCTAATATATTATTCTGTGTTTGTAATATCATATTTAGTTAATTTATCATTTTATAAATATCATTTGAATCTCTTTCAGATTTTTTTAAAATATATCTTGCAAAATCATTACTACTTTATTATAATTATTTTATTAAGAGCCATTTAAAATTATCTAATGTTATATATCAATTGTTGCTTAAATATTTCCTATAAGAGAACTTTATGGTAGAATTTAACTTTATTAGTTACTTTTATTTATTTATAATATAAGTACAATTATATTACAGTATTTATTTACAAAATTTAATCAATTTAAAATGTATAAAAGAAAAATTGTTATGAGTAATATAAATGTACACCATTTTACATATTTTATATATATAAGTAATGATTTTGCAAGAAAATTATCTCATCTTATATATCAATTGTTGCTTATATATTTTCTATAATAAGAGAACTTGCTAAAATAATTATATAAAACAAATATATATCCAAAATTATTTTAATTTGATAATCAACATCTTCTATAAAAATCCTTTAAATAACAATTATCTAAGAGGGACTTAAGGAGGTATTATTATGAATTATATATAATAAAAAATATACCTACCTTAATGTGCTTAACAAAATTTGTTGAGTGTTGAGCCTTTTAAAATTTTTTTACTTGGGCAAATTTGGCATTCAGCTTGAACCTTGTCCTTTTCCACTAGAATAACTTTAACAAATTTTCCATCTAGAATTTTAAGATTCGGTTTTGATTCAGGAGAACCTATTTCCATAATTTCATCTTCACTAACTTCTTCATGATTGTTATTCATTCTACAAATTAAAAAATATTACATATAAAATATATATTCTTTACTTATCTAGTTTTGGTGTTGTTATTTTTAATCTTTCTATCTTTGTAAACTGTAAAATTTCCAGCTAATTTTGGTTATCGATATATTTAAAATAAGCGGGAAAAAAATAAGGAAAATAATACATGATTCCACTAAGAAAATAAAGTTATATTCTGTGATATGTAAATGTTTTTAACATGAATATTAAAAAGAATCTGTATCTGTATCTTTTGTCAAGAAAATGAAAAAGATACAAGATTCTTTTCAAAATAAAGGATCTTAGATTCAGATACTAGTATCTTATTAAAAATGTCAAAAAGATACTGAGTACAAGATACAAAAGGATCTTGTATCTTAGATACAAGTATTCGCGGTACTGCCCAATTCTGGTAATGATGATAGGAAGGTTTGATATTTAAGATATTTGTTTATTTAAGTCAGCAACAGAATTTTGCCTTTAAATATGTGGCCTTCTCTTTAAACTCATAATTTTATAACTCCTTCTTGTGTTGTTAAATATATAAGGTGATTGTATTAAGCATATGAGATAAGATTTCTATCAGGCGAAGTTTCAGTTAATATATTGCTTACATTATAACTAAAAATAATATTAGATTTTTAAGCAATATTTCTTTCTTTGAGAGTCTTATTATTGCCATGTTCTGGTTTATAAATCTAAATTAATACTTTAAGTCATTTCAGAGTTTTTGAATTTTGGATAATTATTTTGTACTCAGATATTGAATATTTGAATGTTTATTAATCAGTCAGATGTATCAAATTAGTATTTAAGAGTTTTTTAATTGAGTGAAATATAATTTGAGCTTAATTGCTTATTAGCTTTAAGTCCGTTAACAGCTGTAAGATAACAATATCTTAAATTTAATTTTATATTTAGAATAAATTTTAAATTTGTAATAGATTATCATATTGGGTAAAATTTAAGATAGATATGCTTGAAAATTTTTTAATTTTAAATATGGCATTGGCCTGATATTTTATTTCTCAAACTTGGCCAACCCATAATAATTTTGTAATTTTTTCCCAAGCCTGGAGTGAGGTAAATATCTGAAAACCATATTGTTGGAAAAATTTTCTCAAGTCCGCCAAAGACCATAATAATTTTGTTAGTTGAGAACTGAAATAAAATATATAAAAGTCATAATTCATTTAAAAATAAAATCAGAATATGAAAGTTGCATGGGTTTGGTTTTTTAATCAGTCCTGGATTTCTGCAAAAAAAAATTTTCAGGCCAATGTCTAGCCCATATTTAAAATTAAAAAATTTTCAAGCATTTATATTTTACACAATATGATTTCTATCACAAATCTAAAGTTATTTTAAATATAAAATTAAATTTAAGACATTCTTATTAAATTACAATAAAAATAAATGGCAAAAGTACCATATACACAAACTAACTAATTACCCCTCAACCCCGTCATTCTTGACGAGTTTTTACCTAGTATAATTATATTCATTTTAAAACTTTTATGATATTATGAACAATAAAATAATAAAATTATTCTATACGTATCATTATTAATAAATAACATTTCAATTCATTGAAGCATAAAATAAAGATTTATAAAGCCCCTGTAGTGGTTTGCCTAACCTCGATTTTGGGACTTGTTAGGCAAAATTTCAATTTTTACAAATGTAAAATTTCGAAAATATGATTATATTCTTAAAAATATTTATAAGGCACCTTTATAGAGTAGATTTAGGTATCGATTCATATACAGATCTTTATAATATCTAAAAATAACACAGGAGTTATAGCTTATTTTGCAAAAATCAGTTCCACTAACCCCAGTCTCTCCTACTAAGCGCTCGTTTATCTGATCAAAATTTTGATAATTCTTAAAATAAAAATTATTACAATAAGATCTTATCTTTTATTAAAAAATGTGTTTTTTCACTTTTAAAAAAATCCACTTCCATTTGGTTCTATATCCCTCCTGAAGGCTACGTCTTAAAACTCCATCTATAAATTTTATAGATTATCCCTCCATTATGAATATCCGGGTGACGTCTATGTAAATAAATATAATACCCTAAGTCAAATTATATCGCCATAAATTTTATTTTTATAACTAATAAATTTCATATAGAGACCCCAAAAAATATTTACAGAGTTGTTATCGCTCTTTTTTAAAAGTAGCTAGCTCCCGCTCCTACCTTCTCAAAAGGAGCTAGCTCTCGCTCCCGCTACTACATTTTTGAAAGGAGCTAGCTCCCGATCCAAGTAATGGAGTGCCACTCCATAACCGCTCCTTTGATTTTCATTTTTTTAGAAGGTACACGAAACAAAATCATATTTTTTTATCAAAAAGTTTTATTTAGATTAAATGATCTATCAAAATATTTATAATCTTTTATTACCCTTTAAAAGTAATAAATTTTCTATAGAATCTAACAAACATTCACGCCTCTCTCCTAAGACCTGTTTTGCAATATTAAATAAGCGCTCCATAGGAGCACTAGAGGGAAGCGGGGTATTGTATTTTATAAAGATATTTTTTAATTCAGGTATAAAAAATGAGGTTGAACAAGTAATGAGAAAATTAAAATAAATATTAAAATATACTTAAAGAATCATCATATCTAACAACCCAAGCTCAACTATAATGAATTGCCCAAAAATAATTATAACCATTAAAAAAAAATTATTCCAAAATAAAAAAAATATAGTTATCATTTCGTAAAGAAAGATTTTTCACTTTTAGATGCTTTTTTAGATTGGAGCTGCTCACTTTTGAAAATGAAATACTTTTACTTAAACACAAAAGGCATTGTGCCCTTAAATTTGTTTGTTCATTTGGATCAACATCTTTTAGAAGTATAAAATATTTTTTGTATGATGGAAATGGAAATTCGATTTCTTCTTCTCTGACCTTTAAATCCATAATGTTGTAAATATTTTTTATTATATATCTATAAAATGAATATTAATATGACTTACAAGATTTTCCACAAAATTTTCAATAAAAGATTAGAAGAAAAACCAATATAAAACTCGGCTCAACATTTAATAATGGATAAATTTAAATAAAATAAAATTTTTATCGAATTTTAATTAACAAATATAATATTTAAAAAATAATTTAATTTATACCATAAATTTAAAGGAGCGGGGAGCGGCGCTCCTCCACTCCAGCCCTAAAAGGAGCTAGCTCCCTCTCCCACTCCTCATTTTTAAAAAGGAGAGGTGTTGCGCCGCTTCTTAACACCTCTGAATGTTTATATAAAAATCATTCAATAAAAATATATGAAATTATATAGAAATAGTTTGCCATAAGAACCAGATCTAAATATTGCATATCTTTTTTTAATGACAATTTAAAATCTCTTGACGGGATAATTTAATATGCGACCCCTATTACTTGATGATTATATTTTAAAAAGTTTAAAAATTAAATAAATTCGAATTTAAGTTATGGAATAACTTAAAAATCAGAAATGAACTATAAAAAATTAGAATTTACACAAAAATCTTATAAAATGATTATAATTAAATTTTATAATAGGGTTGTCAGACCTCCCGCTTTTCCTCTCTCACTTACTCTTAAATTCGAGCGATAATTTTCTATTTATTAATAAAATAAGAAATCCCGATTTTATAAAAACTTGATCATAAATAAAGATTAAAACTTATTAATTTTATATAAATGAGCTAAATTAAAACTTTAATTTTCATTTTAAATTATTTTCTTACCTCTGAGAACCCCATTTTGTTTGATATTCTAACATAAGGCAGGTTTTATTAAAACTACTGTAATACTAATACACTCATTTATATAAATAAATATTTGATTATGAAACCAGTTATCCGTTAATTTTTCTATAATAAATGATTTTAATAACGATATTGTTAATGTTTATTAAAAATTATTTTATTATAATCAAAATAGGCGTTGTAGATATTGGTCTCTTTCTAAATATGGCGGATATAGTTTATTTCGGTTTTCCTGATGGCAAGGTTGATATTCGAAAAGCAATATCTCACAAATATGATATTTGATTTTAAATATTTATTATAATTAAAAAAATTCAGTAAACATATTTTTTTTGTTAATTAACTTATATAATAATAAAAAAGACTATTATTTAATCGTTGACTCTTTAATTGGGATGCCCATTATTGCAAAATCATCACAAATCTGTGAATGTCATTTCCGTTTTCATAAATTCTTGATATTATAGATAAAAAATATCTTTGTGTTTTCCCATCCAAATGTTCCGGTATCACTCTTCCTTAGCGAGGGAATATATAAAAAAAGAAAACGTTTATGTTAGAATATTGCAAGGTGCAAGCATAAGATGGCAGCCAATGGCAGTAAATTGTTTGGATGAAATAGGGATGACGGAATTGGAGTATATTAAATCCAGGGTTGACATGTCGGTCAATTGACCGGTCAAATACTCTAAAATATTATTAGCGAATAAATATTTTGATAAATTAACTAGTATGCATTAAAAGCATGTTTATCAATCTTATTAAGTTACAATTTTTTTTAAAATATATTTGTATCATAAATAATCCAAAACAAAAGAATTTTTTGTTACTAAAATAAATAAATCATGGTTTATTTTTTAATGAATTTAAATTTTATTTAATATTTCGCCCAGTATAAATTATATTAATTCTCATTTATTTTATTTCCACTTGCTACATTTGAATATAAAAATTAATTTTCTTTTTATTTGTTCTGGTCAGATTTACAAAATAATTTATTCAATTCTGGTAAAATGTTATATATTATATTATATATAATATTAAGCCAAATTATTGAAATAATTGGCGATAATTATAAAATAATTAAGATTGATTGATTTTACAATAATCAAAATCTTTTTTAGTTAAATTTTCATATATTAGGGATTATGGTCAAACCAAAGCATCAAGTTTGGAAACATTTTAAAGAAGTACGCGATGGTAAATCAGTTAAAGCGGTATGCATTTTGCAAGATGTCCTATATTACCCACGTTGATAGAATGGTCAAGCATTTATTAAACAGCTGTATTATGTGCCCTGTCATAATTAAGGAAATATTTTATTCAAATTCCAAAATATCAACCTCTACAACAAATCACATGAATGTAGTTTGTAATACTTTAACGAAGAAAAGGTTTAAATTAGTGAGAATGATAATCAAATTGACAATATTTTGTCTTGTGACTCAAGAAAATTTGATTCCATCATCTCCGATCAATCTACAAGCAAGGCGATTAAATGCAAATCTCAATCTTGTATAACCGGTTTTATAGATAGAATGAATCACAAAGAAAAAAATGAGCTCGATCAATTGTTTGCAAAGGCTGTGTATGCGAGCTATTTACCTTTCCACATCACTGAAAATCCTTATATGCAGGAATTCTTTAAAAATTACGTCCTATTTACACTTTACCAGGCAGCTGGCGGGTTATCTTTTAGACAAAGTCTCAGGAGATATGGAGGCAAGAGTTGCAGATATAATAGATAAATCTCCTCACTTATCAATTTTATCAGATGGCTGGAGCAACATCAGAAACGAGAGTATTATTAATTTTATAGTGATGACGCTTGTTCCAGTATTCTACAAATTTTTAAATACTGAGGAAAATCGACATACGACAGATTATATTGCCCAGGAATTTAAAAATATAATTCATGAATTGAATCCTGTAAAAAAGTATATTCTTTAGTTACTGATATTACCTCTAACATGAAAGCAGCCTGGAGAATTCTAAAATCTGAATCTATTTATAATCATATACAATGTTATGGTTGTGTAGTGCATACTTTGCAGTTATTCTTTCACGATTTTGAACGATTGAACGACTTCAGTTATCATATTTCAATAATTAAAAAAATTGCTAAATTTTTCAAGAATAAACACATACCAGCTGCAGTATTTTCCCGTAATAGGAATCAACATGGTATACCATCTACATTAAGTACAATTAGCCAAACAAGATGGGAATCGCCAATAAAATTTATGGAGCGAATACAAATATGTTAGAAACACTTAAAGCATCAGTTGTTGAAGCTCTATGTGATATTTGTCATATAGAGATTATAAATAATATATTAAATGAAGAAATATTTTGGACGAAAAATTTAAAATTTTTAGATTTACTTAAACCTTTAGCTACCTCATTGTTGAAAGTGCAAGGGGATAAATGTTTTTTAGCTCAGGTAAAAAACGAGATGCTTAATTTGGAAAAACACATAATATAATCATGCCATGATTCTATATTTTCTCCACCTGAAGAAAAAAAATTAAAGTTATATTTGAAAAGAGAAAAAATGATCTAAATACATGTGCTCACAATGCTGCTTATTTATTGGACCCTCAATATCAAAGAGAGCATCTTACTAATACTGAATTTGATGAAGCATGTAATATGATACAAGAATTAGGTATTTTACAAGGTGATGATAATCAAAATATTTTAAGTGATATAATAAATTTCGAAAGTAAAAGCGACATATTTAATAGCCAAAATATGTGGAAAGTATAACTTCCATAAGAAACAATCAGATTTCAGCCTCAATTTGGTGGAATGCATTTTGCTTACCTGGTAGCTGATATTTTACTAAAATTTCCTAGTTCAACTTCTTCATCAGAAAGAAATTGGTCGGTTTGGGGAAATATTCATACGAAAAACAGAAATCGTTTGAAGATTTCTACAACAGGGAAATTGGTAAGAGTATATCATAATTTAAGATTGATTAAAAATATTAGAGAAAATAATGATATTATTTATGAATCGGAACAAGACTCTTCTACGGAGGGCGAAACAACTATAGAATGAATTAAAAAAATATTATGAAATTTAATGTTACATAGATTTATTATAAAAAATAAAGTTAATAATGGCGTATAAAACATTTATTTGAATTTGACTATATTGACCGGTCAAATCGTATTTGACCTGTCAAATGAACAACCCTGATTAAATCTATTCTAGTCTTGTACTATTATGTTAATTGTATGATTCAAGCATATGAGCATGATTTACACAAAAGAATCAAAAGAATATGAGTGTGAAAAGAAATTATGAGATGAATGAGCTTTACATATTCTAGTAGATTTACATTATTTATTTTAATAAGGCATAGTAAGATTGTGTTAATAAATGTCTTACCAAGTAAGATAAAATTGAATGATATATTTGTTTTATATTTTCATAAATTTCCTTTAATTGGTTTAACCATTTAAAACTTATCTAGTCTTGGTTACCACATTATAGATTTTAATTTCTTAGTTTAATTTGGTTTCATTTGAAATTATGGGATTGATTTGTGAAAAAATTTAGTTTTAGCTTGGCTATTAGTCTATCAGGGAGTGTAATTGCTTTGATTTTAGCCCTTTTTCTTTGATTTTAGCCCCCTTTCCTAATTTTAAAGAATTCCTAGTGAAACTTTTAAAAAATTTCTTAAATGTTACTTTATCCTGCAATATTGCCGAATGAAGGGGTTTTGATCTTATGAATTTGATCATAGTAGATAATCGATCTAATTAAAGAGTAAATAATTCAAATTTAATGTTCATAAATATTAATGAAAGCAATATAACACTGTTTATAAGATACATTTAAACCTGAGTAATTTGCGCACTTGACAAAGTCCCAATTATTAACTATTAGAAAATGCCTTGATAAATTGGACAACTGTCTACTTTGAATATTGTAAATCGAACTTCTGACAATTTATTCTGTTTTTTTTTAAATGGGGTGGTAACTTTTTATCTAAAAGAATTTACCTTTAATTATTCTTTTTTTATAGAAATCAATTAAATCACTTTGTTCTTAGTTAAAGAGTTTTATTTCGACCCAAATATTAATATATAAGTGATAAAATACACTTTTTCGCACCTTTTATATGTGACAAAATAAATATTATCAAAAATAAATACAATCAAAGATAATCTCAATAATATAAGATAAATAAAAATAACACGAATAAAATGGTTTACAATACTAATGGTCAAAATAACATCAATATATCCTTAACCATGCGCGTACGCAGGAATTTGGTGGGGGGGGGATTAAAATTTTTTAAAATAAAATCATTGTTATTTAAAAATATAAAGCGCAAATTTTTTTAGGACTAATAACAATTTCTAATACAGAATTTTAAATTAATGTGAATTATAAAAAATAAATATATAAACCGGCATATAGAAAACTATAAAATAAATGTGAATTAAAAAAATATTAAACGGATATAACCGGCGGCATATGAAAAACTATAATATAAATGTGAATTATAAATAAATAAATATAACCAGCATATAAATCAGAAATCACTATAAAATAAATGACCCAAAATAGAAATTTAAATTTAAGCCTTTAAAATTTATATATAAAGTATAAATTTAAATGTTGGAAATATAAATTATTACACAAGTTTCTTAGGAATAATTGTATTTTGTATGTAATAACTTAAAAAGTATTCATGAAAAAATATAATTAAAATATTAATTCGCACATAAAATAATTAAGAAGCATATTATAAATTTATATGTAAAATCCAATCTTCATTGAGATTGGGTTTATTGTTCAATTATCTCATCTGTGCTTGGCCTCAAATGCCTACGAATATTCAAAAGGGCCAAACCATTCAATATATTGTCAGAAGTTGTACTCCTTTAGGTATGTTTTTATTCTTCAGAAGGAAATGTTCTCTCATTAGTTGCAGTACTAATGTGAAGTGTTGCTAATATATATAATTTATTATACATTGGGAAAATAATCTTAAAGATGTTTGAAATGATGCAAAGCATCCATAGCATTTTTTGGGACTATATCAACCATAGTTAATCTTTTATATACTATAGTTGGCATTCAGCTAATAAGGCATCATAAGATACTTTAACATCTTCATAAAAAAATCTGATAAATATTTTTTTTTTTATTACTATCTGAAAAAGGTTGGTAAGGCTTTTGTGGAAGTAATATCTGCAGACTGCTAAGTGCTGCCTGATGAATTAAAACCCGTTCTATTTGGGTTATAAATGGAGAGGGATAAAGACATTTATTTTATAATACTCTTCTACTGACCC